GCTGGTACAGTAACATGTCCCATTGGATGACTTTGCAGCATAGATGTCAGGAATGCAGCTTGGGATCACCTCCTTCTACTGAGAGTTCAGTTTGAAGGGATGAGCAAGTAATTTTTCCTGGGTTGACGGAAATCTAAAGCCTGTTTTCTAACACTCTTACAGACACTTCTCTGTCCATCGGCCTGTCCTGCCAACTCTGGTGTGAGTGTGAAGTTGTGGCAAGAGGGATTTCCCATTCCTATTTGACCTGGTGGACACCAGCTTTCCTAGGAAATTGCTGATGGTGCTGAGGAGGCAGCAGTATCAAAGCCCTTGTCGATGAAGGTACGACAAGCTGGGGAGGCTTTGGCATTTCTGCACAATGCTGCTCCCTGATTGTCACTCAAGACTCAGATTCGGAAAGAAGCAAAGCAAGCTAGAGGAAAACTGGATGTCCTGGTAATTTTCTTTCTTTTTATTTTTTCATTCTTCACTTGTAAGAAAATCTAAGTCTTTAAACCATTTGTTTGCAAGCACAGCTTAATGGAAATGCTTTATGGGTGTGCTCCTTCACCTTGTTTGGAACCTGCTTAACCTGGCTTCAGCTCTAGGACACCTATGCTCAAATGTATGCTTCCCATGCTAAAGCGGTGTTCTTTCAGGTCTTCTTTTCTGTGATGGTTGCAGGTGAGGTTGAAAAGAGTTGTCAGTAGGATTCTTCGTTTCCTTTGCAGGATCCAAAACTCCGTATTACAGTGGATCTTCTCCTCTGCTCTGAAAAGCTTCTCAGGCCAAAAGAGAATTGAGATGACGAAGGAAATAGAGAATGCTGACCAGTATTTCCAAGTACCACCCGTAAGTTTTGTGAAAGAATCCGGTGCATTTCTGTAGTGGTAGAAAGTTCATAAAATCATGATCGTGCACTTGAAGGCAAGCAATGCTATAAAAATGAAGAATGCAAGGCCCTGCTTAAGGACAGTCTTCAGGCTGCTTCTAGATCAACAGCTCATTTGGTTCTTCCACAACCTCATCTCCGCTTGCTTAGAAGTTGTGAAGGTCGGAAGCACACTCCGTGTTTTTCATCCATCCCCTCTGTGTATCTTTTCCCTGACAGCAACTTGTGTCTTGGCTCTTCACATCCAGCCAGAGCAGTTTCTTTGCCTCCGCAACCTGCAGGCTGTCCTCTCGTGTGTACCTGTGCTGGACTGAGGGTAATGCTTGTAACGCACGCAGATGCTGTATTCACTAGGACTTTTAGAAAAGAGAGCAAGAAGCTAAGCTGCGCAGCAGTTTCTTAGGTTTCTGTCTCTCTCTCTCTCTCTCTCTCTCTCTGCGTATATATTTCATTACTTATTTACTTGCTTAAAGATCCTTTAAGTACAGTAGATACTTTAAGAAAGCGTACTTGTTCTTCTCCTTTACTTGTTTTTAACGTTTACTTTTCTAACCAATCCTTAATGTTACAACATTGGCTTTATTTAGTTCTCAGTCCTTAGAAGTACTCAAAGCACATCAGTGATTTCTCTGTTTCTCAAGCTGTCCATCTGCATTGAGACCTCTTATCTTAATTTAGGTATGAGGTGCAGAAGAACACTGAAACCAGCCGAAGCCGTATCGGACACATGCTTCTGTGCTAGGAAGTAATTCCGAGTGATTCCACGGTGTACTTTAGACAGGTTTGCTCTGGTCCTCTGGACACAGCATCCCCAAGGGATATTTCAAAGCTCTCGGAAGGACCTGTCGTTATCTCTGACACTGCAGCCTCCATTAGGAACGGGTAAATATTCCTTGCCCTTGTGGAAAGGAACTACTCAGTTAGCTGTTTCTAACCCAAATCTCTTTGTTGTCTTCTCTTGACAGACACCACCCGGCTAGCCAAGCTAAACCACTGAAAATGGAAGGAGTGGGACATCTTCCAAAGCCTGCTGCTGCTTCTAAGCAGAACTGCGATGTAGGTGGGGACACAGCAAGAGGACACGTCCAGGCCAGGGTGCAACTGAAAGGCACCTGTCTGAGCCACAGAACAAAGTCAGCGATTCCCAGTTGCAGACTGTTGCTCAACTAGTGACACAGCAGCTGGAGCGCTTCTGGTTGCTGCTGATGGGTTCGCGTGAATCAGCCAGGGATATGAGCTACGATGAACGGCTGAAGCGATCTGAACTTACTGAAAGAAAGAAGACAGAGGGAGGGGAAGGGGAGGGAATAAAGGAAGGGAGGGGAGGGAGGGGAGGGGAAGGGAAAGAAAGGGAAAGGGAAGGGAGGGCAGGGGAGGGCAGGGAGGGGAGGGGAGGGGAGGATGGGCGATGCGATTGGAGGGGAGGGAGGGAGGGGAGGGAGGGGAGGGAGGGAGGGAGGGAGGAGGGAGGGGAAGACAGTGTAGAGGAGGTAGGGGAGGGTAGGATAGGTAGTGTAGCATAGCGTAGTGTAGCATAGTAGAGGGGAGGGGAGCGTAGGAGAGTATAGGGTAGTGTAGGGGAGTGGAGTTTAGGGGAGTGTAGGATAGGATAGGGGAGGGGAGCGTAGGGGAGCATAGGGGAGGGGAGCATAGGGTAATGTAGGGTAGTGTAGCAAAGGGGAGTGTAGGGAAGTATAGGGAGGGATTATAGGGGAGTGTAGTGGTGTGGGGGTGTGTAGGGGAGGGGAGTGTAGGGGTGTGTAGGGTAGGATAGGGGAGGGGAGTGTAGGTAGGATAGGGAGGGAGTGTAGGGGAGTGTAGGGGTGTGTAGGGTAGTATAGGGGAGGGAGTGTAGGGGTGTGTAGGGTAGATAGGGGAGGGGAGTGTAGGGGAGTGTAGGGTAGTATAGGGGATGGGAGTGTAGGGGAGTGTAGGGGTGTGTAGGGTAGTATAGGGAGGGGAGTGTAGGGGTGTGTAGGGTAGTATAGGGGAGGGGAGTGTAGGGGTGTGTAGGGTAGGATAGGGGAGGGGAGTGTAGGGGAGTGTAGGGGTGTGTAGGGTAGGATAGGGGAGGGAGTGTAGGGGTGTGTGGGGTGTGTAGGGGAGGGGAGTGTAGGGGTGTGTAGGGTAGTATAGGGGGGGAGTGTAGGGGGTGTAGGGTAGTATAGGGGAGGGAGTGTAGGGAGTGTAGGTAGTATAGGGGAGGGAGTGTAGGGGAGTGTAGGGGAGTGTAGGGGAGTGTAGGGTTGTATGTAGTATAGGGAGTGGAGTGTAGGGGTGTGTAGGGAATGTGGGTGTGTAGGGTAGTATAGGGGAGGGGAGTGTAGGGGAGTGTAGGGACAGGGAGCATAGGGGAGGGGAGTGGAGGGAAGGGAAAAGAGGGGATGGGAGGGGTGGGGAGTGCTACTGTAAATAAAATTGCCAAATACATGACATTTTGGATCTGGAGCCAAATCTTTGTGTTGCTGAAGGGACGCAAGACACACACTCCTGATGGCTCTTGAACAGGAGGCGTTTATTGCCCTTTTTCACTCCTACATGTCCTCTCCCCGTAGCCCCATGTGCTGTCCACGCACCCAAATCCCAGTTGGTCAGAGACCCTCAGACACGCGCCTGGAGCCAGCCAGCAATTGCCCACTGCCCAAAGGTCCTCTTGAACACTGTAGCCAATTCTTGATCTCAGCCTCCCTCAAGGTTTTGTTTCTACCGCTTGTTTCCTCATTACCTCTAATTCAGGGACCTGCGAAACAGCGCGAAGCCACCTGAAAAGTCCCTCCCCACGCGTTGCCATTCATTCCACAACCTGATTTATCGCTGCCATCCGCGCATTGCACAGTGCCAGGAAAGGTTTGGCGTGCACAGAGGTGGCTGAGGATTTTCAGAAAGAACTTTCCTTAAGAACTGCATCAAGACTTTTGTTTCTACCGCTTGTTTCCTCATTACCTCTAATTCAGGGACCTGCAAAAGAGATGTATCAACTCTACCATGGTCTTAAATGCCTTTTTGTACCATGGTCACGCTTTTCTGTCTACGATGTGTTTGAGAAACCTCTATTTTTAGCTTTTATGCCTCTAACAACATACTCTTCAGTGTGCCCCATAACACCCCCAACATGATTATACATCTTTTGGAAGTTTGCGTCTTTCTTGTTTCTTTTGTTTAGACATGACACCTACATTTTGAAGGGTATCTATTTTGTTACATTCCTCCTAAGAATACATTTTGCTGTCCCAGAATAGCTCTCTCATTAAGTATTTTGTGCTTTTGAAAAAAATTTACCTTTTCATCACATAGTTAGGTAACATTTACTCACGCTGTTTGGAGTTTATTAAAAAGTGCCTGTGTTTTTATTTGCATAGCTTCCATGTACTTCCATAAGCATTTGTAACAGCTGACATACCCTTGATCAATAACAATCCTTCCCTCTTCTTACATATGCACAGATTTTAAATCCATTAGAAAAGATGCAGCGTAAGTATGTAGTTTACCTTTTTCCCCTTTTACAGTATCACTCCTGTACAACCTTCTCTGTCATTCCTATGTAACTTGTACAATTCTAGCATCGCATAAGGTTGAATGGCGCGGAACTATTCCCAAATCATGAAAGAGTTTGTGGTTACTACAGGAGAAAATCCAAACCCCAAAGACACAACATAAACCTAGTTCCTGAATAAGTCATTTCTACTACCAGGTCTGTAAAATCAGAAGCCAGCATCTGCTTTTTCTTTTCACTTTTTTGGTTTCTTATTCAGATCCTGAATGAGTATGAGAAGCATAACAATTGTCTTCCTCACCTTTACCCAAATGTTTATATTTTATACTTAAATTCTTGTATAAAAAAAAAGAAAAACAGAATGTAAGCATTTTTCCACTGTAAAAGCAATGGTTTTGTAAATATAAAATTATTATTTTACTGTTTTATAAAGTATCTTAAATTAAAGATTATGTGCCATAACTTCAATTTGGATTTATTTCTCAAAGTGTTGAAGAACAGGGGTGGGTTTTTTTCCTAATGATTTATTCTTATATCCTCAACTTTAAGGTATTTCACCTGCATTCCTATGACAGCTACCATAATAATTCAGAGTTGAAATGCAAATATTTTATTTAAAGCATTTAAGGAAATATAAAGTATATTTAAATATTCATAACTCCACCAGTAATATACTTAATTCAGAGTGTAAGAGAAAGCTACTGATTACACAACATTATAAGGTTACCAGCATTTCTGGGGTCTTAATGTCAATATTACAGAAAAACTGAATGCATGAGTTACTACTGTGAGATACACACAATTTGGGTAAGTCTTTGCATGCTGTCTCCTAATGAAAATTCAATAGGTTGTTTACCCATTTCAAGATGGATGATATGCACAATATTACATTGAATACACTATTAAAAGAAGTCATGTTACAAAGAGCTGTTCTTGACAAACTTCCCACATACAATGGAATTTCACAAATCCTCAAAGTGACAAGATTTTGAGAGCAATGGTAAAATGCTCATCAAATTACCTGTACGCTTTTGTTCTCATTCCCAGCCCTCATGGCTACAGAAACTACCTGTTCTCTGCCCTCTGATTTGTACCAGAGCAAACGTAACCTATTAGGAATACATTATAGCATTATCATTATGATGTGTTAAAAAGACTGTCTTGTTTTCTGATGATTGCCGATAAACACCCAGGCTGCTGGGCCCAAAGAAGTGCTTAGGTTGAGAAAGGGCTCCAGCACATATGAGGAATAAAATTGAACCTAATAGCAGCTGCAAAGCTTTTTTATAGAGTACCAGTTCCGGTAAACACACAGAATTCTTTACCTTAGCCAGAGAAATGTTTTAGCCTAATGTTTTTATGAAATTCTTTTCATTTTTTAAAAAAAAGGTCTATAGAATCCATCTCCCTCCAGGAGATCCTGATTAAACCTCTGTGAAATTTAGTGGTTTCACTGGCAGAGAGCCATTTGTTTATGAGCTTTTTATCCATCTATATACAGATGGACTTACTGTAAAACATATTTGCTTTTGTCTTTTAAGAAAAAGCCAATATTCTATGAAAGACACAGACTAAAACATGCTCCCTGGTGTGGATGTGATGTAAGTATTACAGGCTTGATTGAAAACAACATTTAAACCCCCAAATAAAAACACACCGGTACAAACTAGAGCTCAGTTATCTCAGAAATTCCAGGAAATCATTTTAAAAAACAAAGAAGTGCAAAATTTTATGCGTATGCAACACTGAAGACAGCAAATGATACAGATTTGAGAGTACAACCACTCTAAAACGTGAGTCCGTAGGTGACAGCTGAATACCACTGCAGGTTACATTGAACTCAGACATCCAACTGTCTTTGTCTGAATTTTGAGCTAAATCCCACTCCAATTTCTTTTAGCTTCAGGTATCGCTGAACCTTACCTTTAACAAACTTAACTATTAAATTACAGAGAGAACATTGGTGCCATTTACTGCAACTTATTGTCAATCATACTTTGACTAGTGTTTAAAAACAGGACAGAAAATACACAAGGACTTAGTGATTTAGAGACACCTTGAAAATTACTAATAGAAGCCTTATTCCCTTGTTTCAGTAAGATTTCCAGTGCTTTCTGTTATTGAAGAAAGAGTTAAAAATACCAATATTTTATGTTAATTGAGAACTGACCAATATTGTTTAAAGTATCAACACTGAGACCACAATACCTTGGACAAGAGACACAAAATTCCTCTTCAAATGAAAATATTTGTTTGGGTTTTGAATAAAATAACATGGCAATAACTCCACAGTAGGAACAGATTGGTCAATCTTACCTACTGTACTTATTGATTAATGCTGCCAGTTTGCTGTGGAGTGCCTGTCACTCAAAAGCCTGAAACCTTATGTGAGCAATGACACAACATCTGGTTTATAACAGTTTTACTGAACCTTTGCTATTGATTGTTTCCTTGTTGTTTTCTGCCTTACTGCTATGACTGTGTTTATGACATTTTTCCTGTGTTTCTGGCCTAAATGCATAGCAATCATTCTTTTTTTTTCAGTCAAAAAATACATAGGATGAGTAGTGCAAAATAAAACTGGATGTGGATGAGATTGACAAGTTGATGTCAGATTGACATTGATGTCAAATGTCAAAACTTTCTTCTTTTATTCCACAGAGTAAATAAATATAGGTCCTTTATTAACAGAAATTTCTCAATCTCTAAAAAAATAAAAAAAAAAAAAAAAAACAGAAAAAAAGACAGAAAACAAAGAAAAAAGGGATTTATAGAACATATTGTATCTCCACTGATGCAATTTAACCAACAGAAACAGAAATATAATGCAAGAAACCACTACCTCAGTCTTGCTGCTTGTTTACCACATTATTTATCTTGATTTCCTTTTGTAGTTGCTGGGACATGATCCTTATATATCAGCTTGCTGTTAAATCTGGTGTATTTCCAGGCATATCTGTGAAAAAGAACAATATGTACTGTTTGCTATTGTGTTTTTTTTTTGTTTGTTTTCTGAAATATTAATGAATTATGGTGCAATAACAATAATATAACTAATAATTAATAAAATCTGGATCCCACTTCAAAACCTGACAGATTTCCACCACATTTCTAACCACAGAGAATCTGTGCCCAAATCCTATGTGCCTTTGTATTGACCCAGTCCTCATCTCAGATGCATATGAGTGCCCAAGGAATTTACCTATGTCTAAGTACAAATTACTGATACGTTGGACAAGATGTTAAAATGAGGAGCAAGAGAACTGCGTTTTATTTTTGACATTTATATTCACTTATTTAAACTGGCTACTTTGCTCTTTTCTATCTCCACTTCAAAAATGAACTTAATGACATTTTTCACATTAGAAAGCTATTACTGAGATGACCAAAGAAATATTTTATTTAAAAGGGAAAAACAACAACGAAAGAACAATCTGCCTCATATCAGTTCAACACAACTTTTTCTTGCACCAATAAATATAAAAAAAAAAATGTATGCAGAGCAGTAGTATTTCTTTGTGGCAAATACTCAGTGCATGTGTTTAAAGACACGTAAGAAATACTCTCTTGATAAATGAACAAGTTCTTATTGCTCATTAGGCGTAGTAACATAATACCAAAATAATATTGGACTATACTGTACTAGCTGTTACGCTTCCTTTAAGCTTAAAATCAAGCACTGCAGTTTGGATGGTTTTCTTATTTCAGTTCTTCACAGCTTTTTTAAAACTAATGAATATTAGGCAGAAACAAACTTGTAATATTCCTAGTTAAATATAAGAATTACTTCATAGGATAACCACTGGAAAATACACGACCATCCATTAAAGTTATATAAGACAGGACACATCTTACTATGCAACATCAAAGAATACAATCAGAGTTAAGAAAAATACCAGCCTTGCATTCTCCAGAAGATATTAGAATACTATACCTATATAAAAAAAAGGATATGCAGAAATGTAACTTTCTCAGTTTTCTCAGTGTACATTATCTTTTCTGATTTTCTATTTGGGGGGGGGAAGACTACTTTCTAGTGCAAGAGTTGCCTTTCTAACATTCCAGCAAACTCCTGATTTCCTTTTACATGAAGCTTATTACAGCATCTTCATTTCAACTTTTCTTTTCAAGGTAACTGACTTGTATCTCATCTGTACTGAAATCAAAAGCTTTAAGAATGACAAAAATGATGCTGGGATCAGGAGATAATTTGACATTTCCAGAATCAAAATTATGTCAAATGTGAAAGAGAAATCTTCAACGTCTTAGTAGACTAGAGTGTAAAACATGTTAGATCAAAAATCTTGCACTGAAAGGATACTATATCAAAGTCAAGCACTCAAGCCTTTAAGAATGTTATCAGTATACTTGCTTAATTTGTTCCCACTGCATGCACATTTTCTTACAGTCCTTAATACCTGACTAGATGACAGTTTGTGGTGTTTTTTGTTTGTTATCCAAGATTCTTACCTTGTTCAGTGCATGGAATGTTTCTTTATACCTTCCACATTAAATGTAATGTGCATATTCAGGTCTTATCTGAAGTATTTTACTTCACAGAAAACAAACAAACAAACAAACAAAAAGGGTAATTTCTGGGTACTTGTATTGCTTTCTTATTATATCATGAGAAATTTTCATTTAGGATACATATATTTTCACGTATATTCACATATATTTTCTTTAGGGATTCTAAAATATGTATGTGTATATTAATAGTATTAACCTTGTATGTTCCTCAGAAGATTCACAGGGTGACAAATATCTGATAATTCCTCAGTAGCAAACAAAATCCAATAAAAACACCAGTCAATAATTCAGCAGGGACCGAAAACCAGAAAACCGATGACAGACTACACAAAAATTTTGAAGCACTTAGTATCTTTTTTCTTTTATTTTATCTATGAATAAGATTCATTAGATGACTACAAATTAATATTATCTACAAAGCTGAGAGACTTCTCCCCCCGATGACCAGCTGAAGTTTTACGTTGCCCAGATGAGGGATGGATAGTTTTTTCACAATGAATTTCTAATTCCACTCTCTCTTTTTTCCCTATGTGGAAGCTCTGGGGAAGCAAATCAGTCAACAAGCAGAAGTAAAAGAGCTTAGAAGCATAGATTTGGTCTTTAAAGATACAGGAATTTGATCAGCACTCATCTAACATCAGAGAGATACTGCCAGCTGAAAGGAGCTCCTCTGAAGACATACTTGGTCACCAGTATTTGTAGTAGTCAAAGTATCTCTCCAAATTGCTCTACACTTCATCAAACTTTTTATTAGCCTAGACAGCACGGACATGTGCCTCAGAGAATGAAAGGAAGACTGAAAATTTGAACTACAGTTCAAAACATGACAGTAAAAGCTGGAAAAATCTGGGCAAAGACTAGAATAGGACAGGCAGAAAGCTTTGCGAAAGGAGGGTAGATATTTAAAAATATTGCAAAATCAAATCTTCCATTTGGGGTAACTGTGACTATGGACTTGACTCTGGAATATGCCTCATTCACTGATGACAGGACCTATGTTTAAAAATACTCTATTGCTTCAGTCCCATTTGTGACTGAATCTTACTCACAAACATACAGAACAGAAGGCTGATGCAACAGACAGGAATAAAGAGTTAAACACATACACTAGAATAGTCAAGGAATAGTGTAGATACTGCTTAGTTTAAAGAAAATTCTCTCAAAAAAGCCAGAAGCCATAAGAAATACTAAAAAAAAAAAAAAAAAAAAAAAAGCACTGCAAACCTACAGAGATTGTCGTAGAGCTGTTAACAGCTAAGTTTTAGAACAAACAAGAGGTGTGTCTAGAAAAAGACAAATATATCCAGGAAAGGACACAAGAAACTATAAAGCACTCAGTGTAACAATTTAACAGCCTCCCAGTAGGAAACTACTGGAGTATTAAAACTTCATGGTTTGGGAAGAAATAGTATATTTCAAATAACATTTTGATCCTATCTTGTGAGAATCTCACATAGACTTTACAGTGATACATTTTAAATGAAAACTCTTAAAAGCTCAGCACAGAATTAGTTATGAAAACCGTCAAAAACATTGATTTGTTACATTATTTGTTATCTTGGAGGGTTGTGTCCACTGGAGTTCTGCCAGTGGGGGTCTTGTCACTACTACTATTCAAAGTATTAAAGGAAAGAATAAAGGAGTAGCAAAAATTTGCATTTGCAGATGGACTTCACATATCCACTTCATGGGCTTAGAAAGAAAGGATCAAAATCCATCACGATTTGAAAGATTGGATGTTGTTTTAAAGTAAGATGCAACTATATGTAGAAGAAAGAGTAATTGTTAGTGAAGCAGATAGTATTAAAAAAAAAAAACAACAACGGTTTGTAATGATTTACTGAAACTTAATATGAATCAAAATACGGAACAAAATCATATTTGCATACACAAAATATAGTATCATAGAACAGTCATCTTTCATGAAAGATATAGCAAGTCCAGAGAGGACAGACCATAGGATAGATCATAAAATACCCAAAGCTTTTATTCTGTAATTATCTCCATTTTAAAGATGGAAGACTGAGAAATAGGATTCCACAAGAAGGAATGGGTACATCATAGGAATGCCAGATTTAAATCTCAATCCCACAGGGAGGAGGATCACCTTCAAAGCAGACTTGTTCAAATAAGTCATCTACAGAAACCTATCATGTCATGTCAGTAACAGCTTAGTTTCAGCAAATGTTTTCATGCTACCTCATGTAAAACTTTACTAACTTTAACTAATTTTCAAAAATTAACTAGGAAAACAGAATATGAAATTGGAGAGGATTTTTTCATTTTATCATGGTATAAAAGTCTACAGGTGCAAAAAAGAATGTAAAATGTATTTATTTATTTATTTTACTGTGGGGGTGACAGAGCACAGTTGCCCAGGGAGGTTGTGGAGTCTCCTTCTTTGGATACATTTAAAACTCACCTGGATGTGATCCTGTACAATGTGCTCTAGTTGACCCTGATTGAGCAGGGGGCTGGGACTAGGTGATCCCCAGGGGTGAATCCCCAGAGGTGATCCCCTAGCAACCTCAATTATTTCATGACTCTATGATATTTTCATGACACAAGAAAAGCACCACAGCAACATCTTCCAAATAATTTCAATTTTCTATTTTACAATTTGCAGAAGGACTCATCTCCCTGAAGTTCAACAAAAGACTAAGTTACAAATAAAACATGGTTTTGTTGGAGAAACTGTTACATAACCTTAAGGAGAAGTTAATAGCTAAACAACTCCTTGCAAACATGCCATTTCAGGAGCTACAACCTGGTTACATTTGCATGATGTTCAGACTGATGTAAGGATGAGCAAACTTAATAAAAGTAATATTGGGTGTCCATGATTGGAGAGGAGAGGAACAAGAGAAAGAAAATTAAATGTCAATACTTGTTCATCAAATCATTATGAAAAAATTATGTGGTACACTTTCACAGTATCTGGTAGCTATTTAAAAGCATTTTAATCAGATCTTAATGCAGCATATTGAATCAGTTTGTAATCCTTCTCCAAAATACTTCTCTATGCACCACTAAAGAGTTAAATACAATAAAGTAAGATGTATGCAATAGTTCCTCTGATCGACTTCCCTTGCTATTCTATCTACAGATATGGCTAATTTGATAACAAAAATGCCTTAAAAAATGTCATTCAAGCAATATATAATTTCATCTCATTGCTATTTTAACTGCTATTTATTGAAACAAAATACATTTTCGTAGGTGAATGTGCTAACACCAAACATGGTTTCTAAGTGATCTATTTCTACGTGCAACGTCCACCTAATTTGCTTGATCATTCCTTCAGAGTAATGAAATTTCAAAAACACAGAACCCAGTAGTTTCCAAATGTACTTTTCAGAAGGTAACATTTTAAAACAGTTTGTCTCATTTTTTTCCACAATTAAGCTGTAGGAATCTGGGAAGATC